GAGGGGGGGGGGAGAGGGAAAGAGAGAAGTGGGATGATAATTCTCGTGGATCGTCGGAGCCAAGGTCAGAAATGGCGAGACGCGCACGCGCCGCTTTACCACTTGTGAAATTTCTCGGATAGCGCTTCCCGGACATCTATCTCCCGTTCGCTTGGATTTCGCACGCCGAAATTACGCGACGTTACGTAATAGCACTCACGCGCGCTACTGCGTTTGTTGTTTCGCTAGTAATGACCGTTCAAAGCCGAAAGGCAGTTTCCAAGAATGCCCGCGTATCGATAACGGATTGGTAGGATATTAGTACCATCGTGCGATAACGGTGCGAGACATTTGTGCTTTCCTTCGCCTCCGCGAAAGATGCGATGTATTTATCGAGTGGTTTGAGCACACTCCGTGGACTCGCAGTAATATTTATTTACAGTCTCCGCGTTACATATACAACGTATGTACGTTGTACATACGTATACAACACATGTACGTGTGCGGGATACCCTGAAATTCCTACCTGTTTCTACAGCTGCAAGTCGGCCGCACGAGCGTCGGTGGCACGAAAGAAAGAAAGAAAGATACGCGCGCTTTTTATTAATAACTGTTAAGTATACTGAGATTATCGCCACTCGTGCATCTGGTCGAGCCGCATTATTATTAGCGGCAGCTCTTCTCTCGTGCTAATTATAGGCGGTATTATATGTGAGTGTGTGTATATATATATATATATATATATATATATATATATATATATATATGTATGTATGTATATATTATATATATGTTCACATTGTCTCCGCTCGTTGTCGCGTGTCTGATGACAGGTCAATGGCTGACGGAACATCGCGACGTCAGAGTCTGATAGAGTCTCAGCTTGTTCTCAGAAAGATTAGTGGTCTTGTCGTGCGACACCGATCAGAGGAATCCAAGCGGTTAAGAGACGCGTGCATCGATCGACACGCGGCTACTCGAGACTTGGAGTCAAGATCACCGGACGCTACGCGTCGCAAAGTGCCCCGCTTTCGTTACATCACGTGCACTCGCGCGACGCGCGATATATAAAATACGAGAGCACGTGCACTGCGGCGGCGGAGGAGCTGCCGTCGCGCGCTTATTGGCATCCTTACAAACGAGACGATCGAGTTTGGAATCTACATGGGAGATGGTCTCGCAGAGTATCGTCGCGATGCGACGCGACAACGGCGATCACGATAGCGTAAAGCGTAGTAAATAAAATGTGTTTCGTTCGGAATTCGTACATACGCGCGCAATCGCACGCGATCGATCTCCACGAGACTGCCGACCTCGCGAATCGATAGATGGATCTCGAGATCGAGGTAAGACGAATTCGAAAATGGAATCTTTCTTTTCAGATGAAAATCGAAACGTCTCAGGACATGACGTAGGCAGCAGGAGGGCTGTGGAAAGAATCGTCGACGGTGGTGGCGGCCGCGCCATGAGGAGTTTCGCGCCGTAGTTGCGGAAGCGATGTTTAGATGACTGCCTCCCCGATGGACAATCCGTTGCCGATGAATACGCTGTCGGTGGTCGAGGAGGAGGCGGCGAACATCGCCAACATCGCCGAGGCGTTCCCGCCGCATGTCGATACCACCAATATCGTTGTGCAACCAGAATCTCCTACCAGCAAGAAGCAGACCCTCAAGACCTTCACCGAGGTGAACGCACTCCTGCAGGCTGGCAAGAAACGAGAGGTCAAGTTGATGATGCGCGAGAACGCCTGGCCGCTAAACAATCGCATCCGAACGCAACTCTGGCCGGCGCTCTGCAACCAGCACTCACATGGCAAGAACATGCTCGACGGATTCTACTGGGACATGGTTAATCAAGTATTCGGCACGACAGGTTGGTAGCCACTCCTGTTATTCTACCTGAATCCAATCTGTTGGATGATATCGACCCCTATCGATCTCTTTCTTTCACAGAACTCGAACAGCACAAGTCGATTATGCTACCACCTTTTGTCGATAGTACACATTGCTTGTCGTACAATTTGACGAGAACTGGTAGAAACGTGGCGGACAGAGTCGTATCGGTGCTCGGATATGCCTGTCCTGATATTACATACAGCCCTTCTATTTATCCATTAACAGCGCTCCTTTTGCATTTTATGCCAGGTGAGAGCGATCTGTATGTATAATTCTTGGCAGTCATTTTTTTGGCAGTCCAAATTAGAACAGTGAAATATTACGTTTTTCAGAGGAGGAATGTTACCATTGTATGGCCACTCTAGTAGCAGCCAAAGAAAAGACGTTTATCACGCAGACCAAGCTGCTTTATGAAGTCACGTGGAAAACAGTGGAGCAAATTACCAAAAAATATGTTGTAAGTAGCGATAAGTTTTCAAGAGAACAAACGTAGCGTCGCGCGAAAGAAACGCTGGCAAAGGGAGAGAGAAAAGGAGGAACAAGTCGCCAAACCAATGGTTCGATTCGCAAAATAACATGTTGAATCGCGTTTAGTATCGCCTCAATTTGGGGAGGACAAACTGAACAAGTGTGCGCAAGCAACTCTGTTACAAACTGATTTTTCGTTTAACTCTTTAAGTGGTATCACTGATACCAATAAGGACCACTTAGGATCGGGCAGTTGAAATCTTATAAATGTACTATTTAGAATGTTTTTGACAATATTTCATTAAAAAAAATTACTAGAATGTTTCGTGAATTATGAATTAAGGGGTTAAACAAAGTGACGTACGAGGAAACATTCGTCGCGAGAGATACATTTATCTCTTCCTTCTCATCGTATCCTTGCGGGTGTACCGTCAATTGCGGCAAGAAATTTATATTATACGGATAATTTTTCTTTTTTAATTCGAACAATTTTTCAACTCGTACGCACGCTATTTCAGAAATCAGCAGCCGTACATTTAACAAGACACTGCTCCGGCTCGCGGGCCGAAAGGATCTACATGGACTGGATCTGGTGGATTCTTCAGTTTCTTCCATTTCAACATCTAGTCAGGGTTATGGACTGTTTTTTACACGAAGGCATTAAGGTATAAACTTACACAATTGGCACTTGCCCAAACAACGAATTAACATAAGAGTTACGCGCGATGTACTTACGTTCTAGGAATAGGACGAGAACGTTGAATTCGACGATTGGCTCGTTACCAATCCGTAAAGTTATTTCGCGACGTTTTTCTACGCCGTCATGTCCTGTTGCGGAACATTTTTCGAAGACATCTTATTACTATCCTTCCCTCCGGACGTATTGAATTCTTTCGAGTCATTTCTTCACAGATTATGTCTCGATATAAGCTTTTAGATGCGGGTCGAATAAACAAAAACACTCGTATCGAAGTAATACAATTTTAGCGTATTAGAAACAAAAGTAATATTGATGTAACGTAACAAATGCAAAGAGATGTGTTGCTGTCGTATCGAATTTTTCCTTAAAAAGAAAATTGTTCGGTAATTAGATTCGAAAACAGAAATTAATAGAGAAATAGCATACATTCTACGCGTTTGCTTTGCCAGTGAACAATTGTTTCAAATAATAACTGCTTTCACAGGTATTCTATCGGGTCGCAATGGCTTTAGTTTTATTATTTTACAAACACTCCTCACCACAAAATTCAGAGTGGATGAATGAGATTTCGAAAAACGGCATAGACTCTGCTCTATCCAGGTTTTGCAGACAGATACCAGTAAGTAGCGTAATCTAAAGTACAAACGGCATTCACGCTGAAAACATTATAGACGTTTGTTACAGACGAAGATTTGTCAACTTTCTTTTCAGGTGACGCCTGCAAAGTTCCTGCGCACCGCTTTCGGGATTCGCGGACTCAGTTCTGCATACATATCAAGGGTATTTCTACGCACGGAAATGGCTCTCAAGAGTAGAAACGTACTGACGGGTTCCCGATCCCTGGCTAGGTCCCGTTCCACTGACAATCTGCCCACCAGCCAGTCCCAAGTCAACATCCAGATGATGTCTCACACGCTCACGATACGCGAAGTATGTGCTTTATTTACCTCTCTTCTAAGACTCTCTTCTCGGCTCGATTCCGTTTGTTCGCAACAAAGATTATTATTACGTTTCTCTGCTGACGTGACCGAGTTTGCGGGTTGACTGATCGCAGGCTGTTGAGTGAATAGTGGATGAAACCGACGACAAGACGATTCCTCGTGAAAATTCAATGAAAATGTAAAAGATATATCGAGATTAATTATCGACGTTATTAGAGAGAGAGAGAGAGAGAGAGAGAGAGAGAGAGAGAGAGAGAGAGAGAGAGAGAGAGA